TATTATTTCAGTAGAACCTGAAGGAAAGTTCACTAGCAAGGGCAGCACAGAAGGAGATAATGATATTGACAAGCACATTTAAAGGAGGGTCATTTGGCTGTGCTGGGCTCAGTGCCATACAGACAGCCCTGTACACTTACATAGGTCCTCACAAATAATTTTGTTTTTAGATTTGCAAATGCCACAGTCACATTTGCCACATTCAAAAGAGCTCAGAAACTTAAATCTCGTGTGGAGTTAGGAAGTTTCCCTCATGAGCTAACAACCCACCATACCAGTTGCAGAAAGTGAACTGATCTGGGGAATAAGGAAATGAGGATTTCTGCCACAAAGGGCTCTCAGATATGTACTGACAGTGGCCAGAAGAGAAACAAGTCATGGCAAGCTGCCATGTGGGCAGTTGTCAGGAGAAGCAGCCAAGCCGCACATCTTTCATGGCTCATGGTCAGAGTGGCTTAGTATAGCTCACAGTTTGATGTATTTTCCCAAGTGTTTTTGAATAGCATACTTTCTGATGTCAGTGCTTTCCTTTTATTCTTTTGCAGAAACAACACCCAACCTGCTTATCTATGAAGAATGTCATTACCTGCAGATAGCACTGGATGATTCGGTAAAAGGATTGTTGTAAGGGATATTAGCCAGGAAATGGATGGTACTAGTAGCCAAATTGTTTATTCATTATTGAATTAGTGGGTTCAATAAAGCGTTCACATTCCACACAAATGTGGAAGTAGCTAAATGTGAAGCACATTAAGGCACCAATCTCAAGACTCGCAGAACTCAGGCAAACATGGAGTAAGTTTCTCTATTGTCTATAAGCCAATGTTCAGTGGACACTTATTCATAATATTGGGATACAAAAGTGTTAAATTATTGACTGTATCTTGTATTGAGCCATTTGAGAAAAGAGATTATCTGTATTTTTTTTCTACCTTATTTGCAAAAGCATGTGTTTGCTATTAAGTAGGGCTCTCTTCCCCAAATTAGTACCCTCCAGATGTTTTGAATTACACTTTCCAGCATCCCTAGCCATTAGCTCTGCTGGCTGAAGTCTGAAATGTGTGAAGGATACCAGATTGGGAGGAATGGGCCAAGGAATGCCTAGAAATTCCCTTCCATTCCTCTTTCCATTTTATTCCTGTATTTCCTCATTCCTCCTGCAGAGGGCAACTGTTGCCTTGAATTCTAGCAACTTGATTACTTTGTAGATACTTTACACCTTTTGTCAAATTTAAGGTAAATTAATGTCTCTGTTCAATGTTAGTTTTATCTTTTGTTCATGTGATGGTAAACAAAAATAAGTTGTTTGGGGGTGATTTTTTCACTGGTAAAAATGTAACTGAAAATTATTATTATTATTATTATTATTATTATAACATTTCTATGCCGCCCCTTGCCGAAGCCTCGGGGCAGCTTACAACACAATAAAATACATTGAAATACCAAATAATTTGATCTGGTGAGAAAATAAAGAAGGTTATTGTAGACATGGAAAAGTGTTGAAAAGGGCAGCTAAAATGATTAAGAGACCGTTCAGTGCTGACTGGGACTGTTTACGTTAGAAAATGAGGTGAGCAAGGGAGCCATGATGGAAATGTCCAAAATTATACATGGTGTTGAAAAAGTGGTGGGATGACATTTTTCTCCATCTCTCATAATACTAGACTCCAGGATCATCCTATGAAGCTGATTGCTGGAGGATTCCATACAAGGAAAAGAAAGTTCTTCACACAGCACATAGTTTAACTCACAGCCGCAAGATATAAGCAATGGCCATCAATCTGGCTACTTTAAAAGTGGATTAAATAAATTCATGGAGGATAAGGCTATCTATGGCTTCTAGCCCTGAGGGCTACTTACCAACTCCAGTATCAGAGGCACTTCATCTATGTACACAGTTGCAAAGGAATGTGAGCAGGAGGATGTTATTGCACTCAAGTCCTTCTTGTGAGTTTCCCAGAGACACAGGTTGGCCACTGTGTGCACAGAATGCTGGACTGGATGGATCCATCCTTGGCCTGATCCAGAAAGGCTGTTACGTTCACTCTACATGCACAGAGCATAGCTGTATATATAGCTGGAGTTTTGTTTAAATGCTGATACTAAAACTATATGCACTCTTAAATAAAGAAACTGGTGACAGGGATGTGCTTCTTGGTTAATGTGAACTGCAGCAGTAGCAGCAGCAAAGCTATCTTTAGCTGAGCTCAGTGGGTGAGAAATGGATCTGCCAACAAGACAGTCCTTGCTGAATGAAACTTACGTATCCTCTCCTCTCAAAATCTGGAGGGTCCCAGAACCCAGGGTCTGATGTATTTGTGTATTGCTTCTTTGGGTTGTAACCTTTGAGTTCTGCCACATTTTAAGAGAAATTTCCCATGTTTACTTTTACTATATTATATTTATTATTATTTTACATTATTGGCGATAAAATGATAGGGCAAGTAATGTAAAATCTACTTGTCAACATGGAGTTATCTGGTCAATATAGGAGCAACCAAAGTCATCAATTATTTCAACACTTCCACATATTTGATTTATATCCCACTTTTTTCTTACAGTGAATTCAAAGCGACTTACATAATCTTCCTTTTCCTTCTCTCAATTTTATCTTCACAACAACAGTTTTGTGAGGTAGGTTGGGCTGAGAATGGGCTGACCAGCCCAAAGTTACCCAGTTGGCTCCATGGCCAAGCAGGGACTAGAACCCAGATCACCTGCGTCCCCATCCCATGCTCTTAAGCATTACACCACACTGGCTCTCATTTTTGAAAAATGGAGGCTACAAAATATTCCCCCGTGCTTAACAAACTCTCTTCCTCAGATCGTTTTCGTTTGTGTAGAGCCGTTCAAACTGTGTGTGTTGGTGGTGGTGGGGGGGGCTGCTTAATACCTGTGGCCCAGCTGTTTTGGCCTATCATTCCTATGATCCTTCACTATTGACTTTGCCTAGGGTTGTTAGGAGTTGCTGATCTAGAAGGCCACAATGTCTACCTCTGCTTTATAGGATTTATTTAAGTAAAAAGAATTTGCTTGAAATGTTTTAAGAAAAATAAACAACAAAGAATTAAGCTTTGCATGGTCTACTGCAAGTATTTACTTTAAATCCCTCCAGTCCATCAATATGCTTCAAATGTACAGGATTGCATACTTGGCCTGTTCTAACAATCCAGATATAACTTATCTGTTAGAACTGACCTGATTAATTTATACTCTTGCTTAAGAGCTTAAGAAATGTCTTGCTGTATCAGCTCAAATTTCAACCAGTTCAAAGTACCATTCTGGAAGTGTTAAATGACCCATCGGATTGGCCAGTGGCTCTCCAGTGTACCATACTTTACACTCTTTACATCCCAAGGGTATATTATAGAATAGAAGCAGGGTACATTTAAATGTCAGATTCACAACAGACAATTATTCATTGTATTATTTCAACAACATTTCTGTGGTTCAACTATTATAGTCCAGTTTTCTCTTGCCTTGCTACAAGAAAGATTAATTGCCAAGAGCTGGTATTACGCTACTCTAAATATTTACAGTTGGACATTCCACTTGTAGGACATATTACGATTATGTCTTCAGATGTGAAGAAACCTCAACTAAGAGCATCCAAATTAGTTTAATGCTGTTCTATCAAGTTCAGTTTTAAGCTGCAAAATTGTGCAGTTAGGCTTCTGTAGGGCCATTGAATTCAATTGGATCTAACCAGTCAGTGTACAAAAATAAAGCAGTGCAGTCCAATGCTATGTATGATTGTGTTACTACATTGTAAGTTCCTCTAAGTGTGGTGAGAATTAAGACCATGCAACACAAGTCTACATGTGCTTATTCAGACGTAGGTCTCATTTGTTCAGCAGGATTTCCTAACAGGAATGCTGAGAAGGGCAATTCTGCGCAAGTCTGGAAAAAAAAAAGTTCTGGGGAGTAATGACTTTCCTGACTAAGCATTCATACGATCACAGGTAGGAATCTTAGTGATGCATCAAAGAATTTTTGGAACCAAAATGAGAGTCTGATAGTGGTTATTTTTAATCAAATTTCATGAACAAGAGCACATCTCAGGCACTGACAATTCCATGTGCGAAAAATAAAATAAATGGCCAGAACTGGCGAGGAAATTATATTAAATGAAATCCTAAGGTGTGTGAAAGGATCATGCTAGGGTGGTATCTCTCCACCTTCCTTCCCAGAAAATATTTATGAAGCTCACTTGAGCTCTCATGTTGGATGAGCAGAGAAATATGACAAGAAGGGCAAACTTTATCCGTTGGGTAATGAATGGTTGCCACAGGTTCTGTTTAGCAAATGTATTATTGTAAAAGAGAATGAAAATATGGAAAAGGTCTTTCTAACAATAAGACCTTTTATTAAACTATTTTTAAAAAACGTCCTTCAACACACCTGCTTCCATTTTGGTGACAGGCAAATGTGTTTTAACCAATTCAAGAAAAAAAAAAGGCTGGCTATTAGTATCAAAACGTATTTAACCAATTGAAAGCCACACAGGCACACTCCCTTGGAAAAGTATGAGGGAAATTCAGCTGGCGGGGTGATTATCGCCATGGAAATGCAGGAGTGAGGAACTATCAAGATGCTTCGTTTCTACCCCTATAATATGCAGCTGCAAAAGACACACGAACCCCCTGTAGGCCAAACAGCGAAACTACCTCACCCGCGCGTACGCTTCTCGCCACCATCCCCTCCCCGCCCATATCAAGAAAGCGCTTTCGCACGGCTGGGTAAGCCCCGAGCAGATGGAGGCGGGAAAAGGAGGAGGGAAGGCAAGGCACGAGGGAGGGGATCTCCCGCTGCGTGCCCGTGACGTCTAGCGATGACCCGCCCACTAAGGGGCAGGCGCACGGTCGCAGCCCCGCCCCTGTCCTTGAGAGGAGGGGCCGGTGGAGGAAAGAGGGAGTGCGGCTCCTCGCGCATGCGCGTGTGGGGGTGGGGCGGTGGGAAGGGGGTTCGTTCCCTGGGATCTGGCGCGGGAGGCGGGGCGGCGGTCGCCGAAGTTGTGGCGCTTCCCCCTGTCTCGTTCTCCCTGGCGGCTGCGCGCGGGGCGCATCGAGAGGATTCGGTCTCGCCGCCTGTCTCTGCTACTTTGAAGAGCCTGAAGCAGTCCGGCCGTGCTCGGGCTCGCCTTCTCACCTGCGCCCCCCCCCCCCCGCGCATTCGGCTGAGCCCTGTCCGGTGTTGTTGTCATGTGGAATGCGAAGGTGAGACGCCCTTTCTCTTCCTTGGCGCCGAAGCCGATCCACAGGTCCCCCGAAAGAGAACCGGGTGCGGGGAAGACGAGCTCCGGTTTCCGAGGCCCCGCGTCGCCCCACGTTGGTCGCCCAGGCGCCCCTCCCCGGCTGCTGTCCCCACCTCCCCTCGTGCTCTGGGGTCCCCTGTGGGAATCGGGGTCCCTTTGCTGGGGTGTGTGACTGGGGGGGGTGCGTTGGGGGCGAAGGAGGTGTTGTCCTCGTACACTTCGAGTTTTTCCTTCGCTCCCCCTCCTCTCCGTCTGAATGTGAACTTTTGTCTCGGTGTCTGGCTGGTTGCCTCCCGAGAACTCTTCCCCAGCCCCGCCTTTCCCCCCGTGCTTTCCCTTCCTGCCTGCTGGCATTCTCCTCGGCGCTCTCGGTAGGTGTACGTGCCTGCGCGGGAACCGAAGTGACAGCCTTGTTTTCTAACACTTTCCCCCTGGATGTTTACCATTGGGTTGTGCGGATTCTCTCCTGTCGTGCTCCCGCAGTGTTTGTGTTGTGTGGGTGACCCGCGTGTTGGGCTGCCCCACTGTGTGTCTGGCACCAAGGGGAATTCGAGTTAGTTCAGTGCAGCCCTTTTTGCCATTGCTGCCTCTTGGGTTCTCAGATGTAGCTATTTCCATTGTTGGCTCACACACGGTCTATTTCAGTGTGTCCTGAACTTAATCCTTGCCTCCCCCCCCCCCCACACACACCCTAATGTACTGGAAGTCCTGTGTTTGGGGAATTGGCCTTGTAAAGCCATTAGTCTCTACCTGCATACAGGGCTAGTGCAAGAAGGATTACATTAGTGTATCGGTGGCATACTGTGCACATAGCGCCAAATCTTATCATTTCGGGATTATTTGCTGTGGGTAAATATAGTGATACCAGTTAGGAGTTCTGGCCAAGGAAGTGTATTTTACAAAATATATTGGAGAGAATCGTTAAGAGAAATTTGCTTTGTTCTTATGAATGCATCCTGCCAATGTATTCTGTAAAAGCATCAAGGCATCAGTTTTCCCACTTCCCCCGTTTATTTGTCAGTAGTGATAAGAGTTGAAACTGTCTTCTCTATGTCTAATCTATGCACATTGTGGGGCAAATGCAGACAATTCTACTACTGCAAGGAAAATTTAGAGGAGGAATCTTTCGTACATTCATAGTCTTACACGCTTTTGCTCAACAATATGAATGACAGTTATCTGATTTGGTTTTTTGTTTTTTGTAAAACATTTCTAAAAACTTTGAGGTATTAGGAAAGATGAAGGGTTAATATTCTAGATATTTCATGTTTTTCTATAATGTGCGGAAATTTTATTCTCTCTACCACCCTTGTGGCAGTGTATTGATATTTGCATTTGAGATCACACCATATGTTGGCAAATTTTAAAATTCTTAGTTGAATTTATTATCTGGCTTTCACTACAAAAAGAACATTTATAGGTCACCGCTTTTGGATAGGCTTGATAGACAATGGTTATTTCTAATAGTGCAATTTGGCTGTCCTACTTGTTCCACAGAGGCAGCTGTCTTTGATTTTCTCAAATAAATGTAAAAGAAGATGCAAATTATCAGAGAGAGAACTTTTTTATTACAAGAGTTCCAAAAGAAACCTAAATGATACATTTTCAAGTAATATGCAATATCTGTCCATTATATGTTTTCTTCTGAATATTGATTTAATAAATTATCTTTTTGAATTTTAGTAGCTTGAAGGAAAAAACAAAAAATGTTGCCCATTTTCTGTGTCAAAACTGTTGGAATAAGCTTGATGGTCAATATTTTTATAATCAGGTTTACTAATTCAACAAAAGTTTGTTAACATTGTCATTAACATTAACATTAACATTAAAAGAGGTAATTTTTAGCAGGTGATATACACATCAGTGTATATCATTTCAGTGACTTCTATGGAATAATCAAGAATACAGGTGGATACTGGACTTCAGTCATGTTCTTTCTCTAAATGAAAGTATCTCATGCAGTCTAATATTGTGCATATTCCTCTGGAGCAAAGGTCCAGTGCATTTAATGTGGCTTACTCCCAATAATGTAAGCCTGGGATCATAGCCGTAAGTTGCAAAGACACACTTCCAACAAAACAGTTGCATCATTACTAACAAACATAATCCATGTCTGGCCAATATCATTTATGCTGGGAATAAGACCTAGTGAAATAATGGGCTTTAATTCTGAGTAGACATGTACAGGGAGCCCAATCTTCCCAAGTTAACCTGCATTGATTTCAGTGGGAGATACTTAGAGTGCTAGCCTACCAGTGGTTAGAAAAAAGTACTACATATATAGGAATGGCCCCTTAATGTATATGTGTACATTTCTCTCATTGAAATCTATGCTTAATGTTAGATGGATGGTGTCGATGTGCATTTTCTACAGGTAGATTTATTGATGTTTATTTTTATTGTGATTTTAATGTTTAGACCACTTAAATAGTGATGTTTGGAAAGGCAATTAATTTTGCTTTTATTAAAAGGCAGTTAATAAATACAAATGCAAGGTAGCTAGTTTGCTGCTTTTATTCTGAATTGTCAGACTTCCCTAAGCTATATGATAGGGTGGTAGTGGCATAGTTAGTTCAAATGATAAAGACTATCTGTTCACACTTGCACATTCATAGACTCATCAACCCACAGCAAGAATCAATGTTGGGAGGAACCAACTCTTAATTCTGGGAGGAAAGAACTGGATTTGTTCTGAATCTTTTCCAATGCGGTCAGAGAACTTTTTTCATCTTCATTCACTCAAGAAGATGAATTCTAAATTTGGTGCCTTCGTTAGCAACAGTAGTATTAAGGAAGACTTTTAGAGTTAATGAGCTAAGAGCTGATCAGCTAGGCTTTTTTCTCCTGCTGGGTGGTCGATAAGTCATTCTTGAGCTAGTAGTATTAAGGATCTGCTTTGACCATTGAAACAACCTATTCAGTCTGGTCATTTGGAGCTCAGGTCATCTTTTATGCTTTTCAGTTTCTTTCTTGATACACTGTTTAGAAAAGATTAGAATTGTACATATTAAAAATCATCTTCCATCTTAGTCTTGGACATCAAAAGTGGGCCCAACTAAAAGAAATATGCCTTTTCATTTTTAAAAATCTTTTTTGGGGAGGGGCACATATCCAAATTAGGAAATGCTGAATGGGTCTTCTGATTAATTTTAAATCAGTCTTCATCAAACAGTGTTTTCTGTTGATGCTATTATTCCTCCAAAGAAGCCTTGGATGTAAAATTGTATGGTTCAGAAGTGCTTCAAAAGAAAGAATAACATGTAGGTAAATGAGGAAGCAAAGATAGCATAAAGAAATAAATTTCCTCCTAAACCTTGAAATAATGATAGGCTTAGTAATCACTATATATAGATTTAATCTTTTAGATAAATAAATAAGTGAAGTTAAGACTTCTATTGATTATTGCAGATCTAAATTCTCTTTCTGATAAGCTTTCATATTTGCCCAGACTTGCCCAAATATACTTGAATTTTTACTCTTGGAACCATTTTGTAGTGACAATTTCTTAAGTGCAACTGGGTGAAACTGTAAAGGCAGATGCTTCTGAAAGGTGTAGTTTTTCTGATATTTCCTGTACTCTTTAGACATTAAGAGGAAAATGCAGCTGAAATTTTTCCTGTTGGTTTAAGTTGGTGGGTTAAATCGCTGCTTAAATTTCTCCAACTGAAATGAGACTTAAAAATATGTAACCTTGGATAGTTGTGCACTAAGGGAAAAGTTGTCTTTCACTTTTGTTTGTATCTACCTCACTTGTTCTATGTTGTAATTGTGAGTGCTTGAGAAATTCATTCTCTGAAAATGAACTGACATGCTCTGCACCTCCTGGATTAATACGTGGATGACATGCAGCTACTCTTTGGTTTTTTGGAATAATCTGAAGTTTATGGCGCAGTTCTCAGCTGCATAAGCATACTAGAATGTATATTTCACAATAAAATATGCTTAGAAATATTACTTATTTGATATGTAGTAATCTATAGGCAGCTGTGTGGCCCATTGACAGTAGCAGTGGGAAGTCAGCCTTTATGACATGGTATAATTAGCAGTGGACAAACTCACAGTCTGTTTGAAATTACAAGCTTAGGTAACATCATTGTGATCTCAGTGCTTGAAAGTGAAATTCTTTTCAATATATCAGTAAAATTGTTGGCTGGGAATAGAATGAGAAGTAAGGAGCTAAAATGGAGCCTCAGACTGAAATATGCAGCATTGCCAATTCAAGAGAGTAGGATGTGAATTGAGTCTTGCCTTACAAAAGACAACTATCTCAGAAGCAGCTATATTTCTAGCTAACTAGCTAGGCTGACCAGGTTTGCACTACACGGCAATCCATCCTGGGTTGCTGCCTACTATGGTTTGTCATGGGGTGCCTACCCAAATCAGTTCCTGCAGGGTAGCTTGTTTGAGTACAGTAAGTCCACCTGGACAACCATGGTTTGTTTGAGGACTGGTTGTACCCATAAAGAGTTGTCATGTCAGCCAAACCTGCATGATGAACCCCATTGTGGATACTGGGACACAGTGGCTCTCATGGCAAGAGTGGCAGGAACTCCTTGCTTCTCCTGCCGAACATGCCTGGGCACCCACCAGTGCCAGCTGCCCCACAAATGCCCAGGCATCACTTGAGGGTGACTGGCACTGGCTTGTTGGCCTCTGTGCCTTCTGCTATTTGACAGCCAGGTGTCCCCTTTAAAAGCGGGTTTGACAGGCATTGAGGGATTTTGGACTGGAACACATGGCTGCATTTATCCCATGCTAAAATCCCCTATTGCCCTAACAAAACTCCCTTTTAAAGCCACACAGAATGCAGCCTCCAATCCACCCTTCAGTGATTGATTGACCATTACTAGAAGTTGCATTCCATTGGAAAAGTCTTTGTCCTTTCACCTTTGAAATCTGAAATTGTGCTGCTAAAGCATAGCTTGGTGTTCTTGCTCTTAGAGCCATGCTGTCTCTGGGAGG